GTTCACACCACAATTACCGTCAATGATTAGGCCACTAACAAAAATCCTTGATATCATTATGCAAAAAGAGCCTAAGTTAATCTGAAAATACTAGCATGTATCCAGGCGCAAAGCAAGACTTTGGCAAGCTAAATCATTCTTGTGTCCTCCTTTTGCGTAAAAGTCAGCTAAATCTGGACCCACTTTTCCAACTGGCCCTCTGAATTTTTCCTGTGCTATGAGATTCCCAACAGAGGTCAGTTCTGCCATGGTATTCTTAAGAGTACCACAGGATACAATGTTTCCTAACCAATTAGATGACTACAAATTCTTAAATGTTCAGAATTGACTAGGTCAAACAGATACAAGCAGATTCTTTAATCCTGTAGTTAGCAACAATAATACTAGTACAGCAATGGCCAAAGACTGGTGATGAAAAGCACTGGTAATGATACTAAAGGTAAAGAAAAAGAGGATACAGTCAACAATGGCTTTAGGAAGTTCAGAAAGAGCAACACCACAAGAGGAACAAAGGTTTCTCACTCTATCTGAATCCACTTTGAATCTACTGTCACAATGTAAACACTAACATGTGTAAATTATTTGTAAAATATTACTGGAAGCAACACATTTATATCCCACAGGCAAGCCAACTACTAATAAAAATAAATAAGGCAATACCATTTACTGGGTAAATGTTAGGAATACAACTGATTTCATTAAAAGTTCAGTTTAACATTTTTTCAATGACAATCATGCTAATTAGAGATATTTCCATCTAAATTAATGAAAGCCCCACAACACAGATGTGTGTAACGGTACTGGGTAAAGTGGCCATTGTAAATGGTATTATACATTGAACTAAGAATATATTACATTTTAATTGAGATTTTAATACTTCTGAGACATGTTTTTATATATGTATATTTCCAATAACATGCCAAATCAGTAAAAGGGTATTACCATTAAGATAAAACCTTGATATAGGCACTACAGAATGCTACTTTAGTCCATTCTTTAAAAAGAACAGAGGCAAATAGTTTCAGTTAAAATTTGTTTGTAAAAATTCTGAACCAATTAATTCCCTAAGAAAATAATTTAATGTTTCAATTATTCTGCAAATGTTGTTTGTTTCCCTTTTATACGCTATTTCTCAGGGACCCTATCTAGATGAGATCGATCACACCCTACCAGGATCAATTCACCAACTCTAAATCTGTTAGGCAAAGAAGAAAAAAAAGTAATATTTTGAGTTATTAAAACACTGCTTTAGAATACAATCAGCAAGCTCCATCATCTATCCCTAACTTGCTTTAAATTTCAATCACTTTCAAAGTGTCCTAAATATTTAAGTACTGTATATGTAATTTAAAACCCTTAATATATAATATCACAAAGATTGGTTCTGTCTCATCAAAAACATTTGTATACTGAATTCCGAAAAGGTCGTATTTAAAAAGGAAAAGAAAACATAAACCTGTATTCATTATGACAATGGATCTGTTTATTTGGATCTGTCATAGCTTCTCACAGTTGGATTGCTCAAATAATTTTCAGTAGTAATAGTTTATTTGAGCAAATAAACACAGGGTAAATAATTTAAAGGCAATTTGTTCTTAAAATACACTAAATCCCTAAAATAAAACACTTGAGAGGCAAACTGCAGTGAAAAAGAATTTTTTATAGATGTTATTAGTAAAAGGCAAACTCTTACGAAGTTTCTAAAGGTAAGTATTAAAAATACCAATCTCGAGAGAAAAACAGAAAAGTGATTTTGGCTGTCATTTTGCAGAGCTATTAAGAATTCTCACAGCTAAATCACAACTTTAATCAGGAGCCAAAGAGATCAATTCTTTTCAGAATGCTTTCAAAAATTTTCAATTTTCAAAATTCACATGAAGTTTAGTTGTCTTATTACTGATGCTCTACTCCATCTCTATCCATTAACGCAGCCTAGAATCTGACACCACACCACAGTATTTTGTAAATTCAGTCTACGGTTTTACTTCCTGAAGGGTACACTAACGCTAATAAATTAGATTCTAGGCTTTGCATACCATTTACAAATAGAACCATAAAAGAAAGCACTATACATACAATCTTAAGAATGGGAAAGAGCCCTGTAGATGCCATATAGTTCAAAGAAATTTTCAATATTTTCTAACTTTACAGATTTTCAATTTATATTTACCAAGATATGACTATTTACGTAAACTTATTAAAATAACAATTTAATTTATATATTGTGTAGTTTTATGAATTAAACTTTAAGTGGAAATGTTTAACCCGTTAAAAATCAATATTCTGACGCAAGGAAAGGAAAAGAACATTAGAAATAATTCCAGGGTATTAGTCTAGTAAACTTATTTTAAAGCCCTATGGCACAAACTCATTTTGTGTGATACATCGGATTTTTCTGCAATAAAAAATCACCTTTTCCCCCAAAGCCTTAAAGAAATACAGAGAAATTTAAGTCTTAAAAAGGATTACAAATAGTTTATTAAAATAAAATTCCATCTGAGCAATTTTCTTGATGTGCCTACACAGTATATACTTTAACAGTCAATAAATACTAAATTTTCTAAATTGCTTGCTTTTTTACCAATTATTTTTGACAAAGCATTAGCCAATTATTTATTAACCGAATTTTTCTGCTCAAGAAACCCAGAACCACTCTTATACCTTCTAGAAGGCTATATATTTCTGCTCCTTCCATTCCTACATGAGGCATTAAATCCTCAAATTATAGTCTTATCTAGCAACTTTCCTAATAATCACTATTCTTCACTATACTGTTATTTGCCACACTTTTATTTGTAGAATATACACTATTCAAGCATAAAGCTGTCTGACCTATCTTCTCACTCAAACTATACTATGCTCTTAATACTGATTATTCTATAATCGCTCTATCCCAGTAAACCAATTGGTAGGTTTGATTTATCAAGTTCCATTTAATAGGGCTTGATATGCTTCAGGGTAAAGTTAAACAAGCTGATCATTATGTTCTATACGCTACATCCTCCAAAGCCTTTCAAGTTTACCAACATCCTTCTCTCTAGAATAGTAAATATCCTATCATAGAACCCAAAGAATATTGCTTTGCTTTAAAGAATACAGTTCCACAGCACTTTTCAGAGAAGCTGTTAGTAACTTCCAGACGCCCGCTGGACTATCACTTTGGTTAAATTAATCATGGGTCACCTTGTGCCACTAACTTTTTAGTCCTACAATTATTGTAGGAAATCTACAGATCTACTTTAAAAATAAATGAAATACTTAAAAAAAAAAAAAGAAAAGAAAAAGAAAAAGCACTATTTTAGTTAGCTCCATTACTTTTCCCAAAGAAATCAATTCAGGGTCCTTATGTCACTACTTTTACTTAAATCACAACCGATCAGTCGTACATAACAAAGGAGGCTTTTAAAAAGACATAATTTTGCACTTAACCTTATGAAACACGTTTCCAAGTTTTCAATTGCGAGAACGTTCCATATTAAAAAGGTGCTGGTGCAGTCATCAGAACTGTGCTGCCAGCTGCAAGCTCCGAGTATCCTGCACTTTGCAAATTTTAGGTATAATTTCTGTTACCTGCTGAGGTTTCTGCACCCTTTGTCACCTAGTGATGCTCCCACCACCAAACACTTTCCATCATTTTTAACGGCCTCCTTCCACCCCTCAAAAAATGCACAGTAAACTTGGGCGTTTCTGCGCACTAACACGGAACCACTAATATCACTAGGTATTATGGCTCTCAAAGAATCCTCTCTAGCAGCCTCCCCTGGGACGCTGTGCTCAGCGGGGCTTTGAACCGGTGAGACTCGCTGCCAGCTGCCTTTGCAAAAGCAACACCAGAGGCAGACTCAATACCGCAATGCCGCTGCTGCTGACTTTTTCTAACAGCTTCAAAAAAAAAAAAAATCACCCCAGTCCCCTGCAGACCCTGCTGGCTCTTCTGCAGCACGAAAGAGAAACCACCGCATTGCTCAGCTTGTAAGATCAGAGAGCCCGACTGAAGGGAGGGGAATCAGTGCCGTCGAGAGGCTCCGCGAGGGCGGGGTGTTGGGGTGAAAAGGGAAGACATCCGGAGTGCAGGGGACCGCGACAAAGCAGCAGCCAGGGCTCCGCATCGCGCCCTGGACGGGGCCGTGGAATAGCGGACGTCCGGTGGAGACGCTAGCCTCAGCCGGGGATGGGGGTCCCGTCGCGGCCCGCCAAGCCCCTCCCGCCACCCCCCCGCCCCTCACCTGTCATGAGCGCCGGACTATCGCCGGCTGCTGCAGCGGGAGAGGAGGCGGCTGCTGCGGCAGAGCCACTCGCTCGCCGCCCGCGGAGGTGCCGGGGCACCAGCTCGCATCCGTCCGCCGTACCGGCCACCAGCAGCCAGAGCACCAGCAACGCAGCCCAGCGCCGCCGCCGCAGCCAGCCCCAGGTTGGGCCGGGAGTCGAGGCAGGATGAGGGCGCGGAGGAGGAGCCGGGTGAAAGCGCAGTGGCGCTCCGGCCGCCTGCCCGTCGCCCGCTCCGCGAGGCGCCGCCACCGCCGCCGGCGACTCCGCCGGCCACCCCCGCCGCCTCAGAAGCCGGCTCCCGCTGGGCGCCAGCCTGGTCCCGTCGGCACCGGCGGCCTCCGGAGCTCTGATCCCGGCTGCGTTCATTGGTTCCGGTTATTTTTTTTTAAAAAAGTGGGGGGTAGAAAGGTACGGCGTCTTCAAGCGGTGCACGACACCCGCGCTGCTGCCGCGGCGAGACCGGGATCCGCTGCTCTGGCGCCGCCAAACACCAGCCCCAGCGCCCGCGCCGCCGCCGCCGCCGCCGCCGCCGCGGCGCATCCCCCCGCCCACTCCGACCCGCGCTGGTCGTAGTACCACGCTCCGCCGGGACGCCTCCCTCCCCTCGCACAGTCGCTCGCATACCAATCCCCCGCCTCCCTCAGGCCCTCCACGGCGCAGGCGCGGCGCTTCTGCACTGCGCATGCGCAGCACACCAGCCCCCGCCCCGGAGGCGTTCCCGGACGGACCTGAGTAGCGCTGGGTGGTTGCTAACCCGCCAGCGAGCCGCGAAGATAGGGGGCGGGGAAGAAGGAGGAGGTGTCCCCCTCCCTCATTCACGTCACCACCGTGAGGGGGTGTAGGGGGATACTAGAGGCGGAGAGAAGAGTCCAGACGTCCCACATCCTGAGGGCAAGTTACAGCCCCGGGGAGGGCACAAAAAGTAATTGCATGAGTCGGGAACATCTTGCAATCGGAAAACAGCGGCGTCCCCGTAATTTCAATATAGGTGGGGAGTTCAAGCGGCTGGCTATGTAGACGCGGTTAGCCTAGCCTAGCGCTTTATTTACTTGCCAAACATTTCACAAAGCGCATGCTATGTGTGTGTACCAGGCATCGCTGTAACTCCAAATTATCCTTTATCATCCCCGTTTTACGAATGAGGAGACGAAGGCCCAGAAATGTGAAATAACTTGTCCCCAATGTCCCACAGCTAATTCATGGGAGATGAGCCAGATTTAGCAGCCACTGAAAGGGCCGACTCAGAGAATCTGCTCTAGCTTCTGACTTTCCTAGGTTCAGACATTTACCTGAACTTAACACCTTCCCACCCCCATCCTATCCCATCAAGTCTTTGCTCCATCCTGAACCGGCTGACAGAACATTGGTGTAGACTTGTTTTCGCCAGCCTGGAATGAAGCAAAGTTCTTGTGCACCCAAGATCTGCTCTCTGTTGTAAATCCTGCTCAGATCCGGTCTAATTGGTTTGGATAAAGAACCGGAATCTTTCTCATCCAAACTAGCTGCCAGCATATTTTTTAAGGCTACCTCCCTTCAAATATAAAAGGAAACGTTGAATGCAATCTCAAATAAATTAAAAGCCCTGGAAGTTTACACACAAGGAGGCATTCTCTCTCCCGGGGGCACAAAATTGTTTAAAATTTGCAGATAAGGTTCTTAAACACGAAGGTCCTTTTCCTATTGGGTTTTGTTGTTGGTTTGATTCTGTTTATTAGTTCGTTTGCTTGCTTTCCCAAGTCAAGAAGATACTCAAATTACATTATCCTAAAGTATTTTAGGCAGCCTGGCCAAGATAACCACAAGTAAAGTTTATTGTGGAAGGGCAGATGCACACTTTAGAAAGGAATCAAGGATGACTTTGAGGCTAAGTCAATCTATCAACAATTATTTCTTAGCAGACTTCTTGTGGGCATGGTGTCCAGGTGGTAATTCTTTATAGGGCAACAGGGAGATTATATTTCCCCTGCTAAAAGGCACAGCGATGAAGTCACACCAGAGTGCTGAGGGCCCATCAGAGAAGATAACTTTGCTGGGGACCAGAACAATATAAATAACAGGCTTGTTCCTGCTCTCCAGGAGGCATCATTTCATTTATTAAATGTTTACTGAGTGCCTAGTATGTGCCAGGCAGGATACTGAGTGGTGAGGGTTCAGCAAAGAACGAGAGACACTTGAAAAAGGCAATTAAGTCAGCAGTCAGGGCTATGAGATAAACAGCACAGTCCATGACAGAGGCATCTTACAATCTTTTTAAGGAGATAAAATTTACGCCCATTAAACAATTAGAGGCTAATACAAGGTAGTAATCAGTTCCTAAATGGTGTAGTGCAAACTGTGTTATAGCAGTAACAGTATAAAACCACGACGAAATTAACAAATCACAGGGGCCAGGCTTCTTTAAACAAAGATGATTTAGTATTTTTTTCTTCTTCTTCTTCTTTTAAAGATAGGGAGGGTATTGACACTGAGAGGGTAATGGATTTGGAGTTATAAGTGTTTTATTCCTCTCACTACTGGAACCAGAAAGGAACTAGGGAACTGGCAAGAACTAAAGAGACCATGGTCAGGCAGGCCAGAGGCCAGGAATAAACCCTCCACCGCAGATCATCTTTGCCACAGGTACAGAAGTTTCCAGCTGTTACATGAATAGCTGGAATGCACCTTGCTGAACAGTCACTGTGCATCATAGCATAAACCTAAGAACAGAAAGGAGAAAATCCATTCCTTTCCAATAAAAGCCCAACCTAGAATAATACATGCTTCTATTTGCAAGCCAAACATAAAACACAAGACTCCAAATGAGGCAACCGCTTACCTTTCTCCCCAGGTTTCCTGTCCCACCTCCACGCTTTTGTTTTCCCTTTCCTTTCCCTTGTTCTCACTACCCCAAAGCTTTCTCGTCTTCCCCCTAGCCAAATCCTATTCAACATGTACCCTGAGGCCCGTTTCCTTGGCACCTACCCGACTCCTACAGCCAGCCTATACCTCTTAAAAGTCCAAACTTCATGATGTGCCTTTTTTTTTTTTTTTTTTTTAAACAGGACGTCTTCACCGTCCCATTTTCACCAAATCATGACTTCAAACACCTGATAGGCAGCATTGAGCTAGCTCTATAATCAGGCAAACCTGAAAAAACAGCAACTCCACCACTTTTCAGCTGTGTTACGTGTAGACAGGCTAAACTGTCCTCAGTGTCCCCACCTTTAAATTGGGGATCCAAAAATGCCCGCCCCACAGGGTTGTTAGGGGCAGCGAGAGAATAAAAGAACAGGAAAAGCCCTTGCCCGAAGCCCGGCACACAGGTACGTTGCCATCCCTCGGGGAGCACTGGCTCTGGGCGTGCATGCTAAGCGTGTTCTTGGCTTAGGGGAAACGCATCGCACTTTGCCCATATTGTCTGAGTTCATCTTACATATACAACCCAAACTACTGGGGCGCGCCCGGCACCGTCGCACAGCAGGATCCGTGCACCAGCTCCTCCCCATCCCGGAGACAAGCCTGCCCTTCCCAAGAGTCGGGCTCCCTCCCTATCTCCTTCCTCTCCCCATGCTCCCGCGCAGCCCGCACAGCCCAGGAGGAACCGCCAGCTCGGACTCGGAGAACCGGTTCCTGACCGGCGGGCGCGTCAGGGCGCCTGCGCCACCGCAGCCCCGCGCATGCCCGCCGCTTCCTGCCGGCTGCCCAGGTGCGCGAGTTCTCCAGCTCCTGGGTTTCCGGGACAAGGCGCGCCGGGACCCACCGGGCTTCCGGCTCGTACTCTATGGGCGGGGTGCCCAGCCGCCGCGAGATGACGTCACCGCGTGGGCGGGCGCGGCGGGCTGTCCGTTGGGAGTGCGGTGGGCGTGGAGCGGAGTCGTGGCGGAGGTGAAGAAGTGGGAAATTCCGGCGCCTCGCCCAGCCGCAGAGCGTCTTCTTCCCGCCTTTGATTTATCCGCGTGGCCCTGGAATGTCGGGACTGACCCGGCAGAGTGGTACAGCCTAGTTCGCTTGCTCTTCTTGGTGAAGCTCCTTGGAGAGCAGCCTTAGGTGGAAACCCTGTTATGTACCCAGTCCACAAACACTAACAAGGACTTGAGGTGCTGAGAACTTTAGAAACACCTCTAAAGTGATATAGACAATGTGGTGGCTGAAGCCCTAGCATAAAAATGGGGTCCTCAAATTGTTTAACAAATTAAAGCACTAAAAATAAAAGTGACACAATGGAAGTAACTCATTAGGAAAGTAACTCATTAGGAAGACCCTTGCTCCCTATACCCAGTAAAGCATGGGAGAGTCCTCAAGTGGTGAAGGTGGAAAAATTCACTGCTTTCTCTGGGAGCAGAGGAAGGAAGTCTTTTTAAGTGTCATTCATCCAGGATAGGAAGTCAAAAACTTTAGAATTAACTTACTTAAATAATTTTTAAAAGCCACTCAACAGAAGCAAGTCAACTTTGTCGGATAAAGCCCAGTATAGTCAGTGGGTATGTGGGGTGAGTCATTTATATTATTAAATAGGATATGTTTGCTCTATACTGCTTAATTTGAAGTATTACATGAATATTATTGATCACATGCTAACAGGGGCTGAAGCAATAGGAATGTTGACACTTTCCATAAAAAGAGGACTAGAATTGTGATTGAGCTAAAGTAAAGACAATCACAATGGAAAATGGTAAGAAAATGATGACATTACCAAAAGACAAATGATAAGTGTTGATGAGGATGTGGAGGAAAGGAAACCCTGGTATACTGTTAGTGGAAATGTAAAATAGTATGCCCATTTTGGAAAGTAGTGTGGAGGTTCCTAAAAAACTACAAATAGAATTATCATATGATCAGCAATCTCACTTCTGAGTATATTTCCAAAGGAATTGAGATCAGTATGTTAATGACATCTTCACTCCCATGTTCATTTCAGCATTATTTACAATAGGCAAGGTATGGAAGCAACCAAAATGTCCTTCAACAGATGAATGGATAAAGAAAATATCTGTATCTTTGAGGAGAGACATCCAAGACAGCTAATCACTAGCAGCTCGGGATTGTAGCTCCCAGTGAAAGTGCAGAGAACGAGAGGACACCACACTTTCAGACGAATTTCTATAGCTCATGGACCAGGAGATTCCCAGCAGAGGAGCCCCACGGGTTGCCAGCGCAACTCTTGTGGCCAGCATGGCAGTTTTGCCAGCACCTCAGCGCGGTGGTTCCTGGTGCAGAGTCAGAAAAGCACCATCAATCTTAACACCAGCTGTGCAGTGGGTTGCTCAGATTCTGGCGCTGGGAATCAACAAGTTGGATGTCCACTCAGAAACCTAATTAGAAAATCAGTAATTACAAAGACGACAGATCAGATAGATAAATTTATAACGAAGGGAAGAAACTAGCCTAAAAAGGCTGAGAATACCCAAAATCAGAATGCCTCTCCCTCTACAGGGGATCACAGTTCCTCATCAGCAATAGAACAAGGCCTCATGGAGAATGGGTGTGTTCCATTAACAGAAGCAGGCTTCAAAAGGTGGCTGATAAGAAACTTCTGTGAGTTAAAAGAACTTGTTCTAACCCAATGCAAAGAAACTAAGAACTTTGAAAAAAGGTTTGACTAAATGCTAACGAGAATAGACAATTTAGAGAGGAATATAAGTGAATTAATGGAGCTGAAAAACATAACATGAGAACTTCGCAAAGTATGCACAAGTTTAAACAGCCAAATTGATCAAGCAGAAGAAAGGATATCAGAGGCCGAAGACCAACGTAATGAAATAAAACGAGAAGACAAGATTAAAGGAAAAAGAATTAAAAGGAATGAGCTAAGTCTCCAAGAAATATGGGACTATGTGAAAAGACCTAATCTAAGTTTGATACGTATACCTGAATGTGACAAAGAGAATGAATCCAAGCTGGAAAATACTCTTCAGGATATTATTCAGGAAAATTTTCCCAACCTAGCAAGGCAGGACAATATTCAACTCCAGGTAATACAGAGAACACCACAAAGATATTCCTCAAGAAGACCAACCTCAAGGCACATAATTGTCAGATTCACCAGGGTTGAAATGAAGAAGAAAATACTGAGAGCAGCCAGAGAGAAAGGTCAGGTTACCAACAAAAGGGAAGCCTATTAGACTTACAGCAGATCTCTCAGCAGAAACCCTACAAGCCAGAAGAGAGTGGGAGCCAATATTCAACATCCTTAAAGAAAAGAACTTTCAACCCGGAATTTCACATCCAGCCAAACTAAGCTTCATAAGTGAAGGAAAAATAAAATCTTTTGTGAACAAGCAAGTACTCAGAGATTTCATCACCACCAGGCCTGCTTTACAAGAGCTTCTGAAAGAACCAGTACACATAGAAAGGAACAACCAGTATCAGCCTTTCCAAAAATATACCAAAAAGTAAAGAGCATCAACATAATGAAGAATTTACATCAACTAATGGGCAAAGCAGCCATCTAACATCAAATGGCAGTATTAAACTCACATATATTATTAATCCTGAATTTAAATCGACTAAATCCC